TTTCTCTTCCCAATGGCAGCCAGCAACTTTGGACAGCACACGGCTCTGAGAGGAAAGGGGGAGGGGGCGGCCCTCTGTGGGAACACCATTGCCCTCCAAGTTCCCTCACAGCCTGAGGGAAAGCCCCACACATAGAGGAGACTGAGCTGTTGTGGGGATGTCTCCATCAAACTAGGACCCCAGGAGAGCAGTTGGTGAGGGCCCAGGGAGAACACTGGGATCATGCAGAAGAAAAAGAGTGTCCCTCTCCATCCTGCTTGGTACTCCAGCCCTCTGATCACTCAGAGAGCCATGTGGAGAGAGAGGCAGTGGCTGGGAAAAGTGTGCAGGTCTATGTGATTGCCTAGAGTGCAGCACAGAGAAAGAGGCGGCAGACAGGAAAAATGCACAGGTGTAAAAAGGTGCCCCTTCCTCTGCCCAGCACTCCAGCCTTGTGATCACCCAGAGCTCTGCACAGAGAGAAAAGCAGAGGCTAAGAGAAGTGCAGGTGAAAGAAAGCATTCCTGCTCCTGCCCGGCACTCCAGATCAGCCATCAGTCAGAGTGTCGTACAGAGAGAAAAGAAGTTGGCGGCTGGAGCTGGGAGCCCTAGATCATGCTGGGCTCAGAATACACAGCATCTGATCCCCACCCAGGGGTGGCAGGTGGAAGCTGCAACCAGATAATAACTATGTAGAGGCAAAACTCCATGCTGTCAAGCAGTATGAAAAAGTACATTAAATCTCCAGACCAGAAGGAAAGTGACAAGTACCCAGAAACTAACCCTGAAGATATAGAAATTCATAACCTAAATGACAGAGAATTCAAAATAGCTATCATAAAAACACTCGAGTTACAAGAAAACACAGAAAGACAAATCAACGAATTCAGGAGCTTCTTTGCAAAAGAGATTGAAACCATAAAGAAGAACCAATCAGAATTGTTGGAGATGAAAAACACAATGGATGAGATAAAGAAAAAATCTGGATTCCCTAAACAACAGAGCTGACAATATGGAGGACCAAATTAGCAATTTAGAGGACAGTAATATAGAAACGCTTCAGCTAGAGAAGAGAGAACTAAGACCAAAAAGAAATGAAACTCTCAGAGAAATATCTAACTCAATTAGGAAATGCAACATAAGGATTAGAGGTGTTCCAGAAGGAGAAGAAAAGAAGAATGGAGGAGAAAGCTTGTTCAAAGAAATAATAGCTGAGAACTTCCCAAACCTGGGGAAAGAGCTGGAAATACAAGTGAACGAAGCCAGCAGATCTCCTAATTACATCACTTTAAAAAGACCTACTGCAAGGCATATAGTAGTAAAGCTGGCAAAAGTTAATGACAAAGAAAAAATACTAAGGGCAGCAAGGCAGAAGAAAATAACTTACAAAGGAGCTCCTAACAGGCTTTCAGTGGATTTCTCAGCAGAAACCTTACAGGCTAGGAGAGAGTGGAATGATATATTCAAAATTCTGAAAGACAAAAACTTTCAGCCAAAAATACTCTGTCCAGTGAAAATATCCTTCAGATATGATGGAGAAATAAAAACTTTCCCAGATAAAGAAAAGCTAAGGGAGCTCATCACCACAAGACCCCCCCTACAAGAAATTCTCAAGAAGGCTCTCATCCTAAAAAAGATGAGTTCTCAAGGGAGGAGAGTTAATACAGTGAATATTTTTTACTGTTCAACAAGGACTCTCTTAAGTAAAATTGGCATTTTTTTTCCCTATTGCCAATGCACGGCAGTGAAGCATATAATGATGCTAGTGGAGTTCGGCACCACTGCCTTGATTCATACTAAGATGACAGTTGTTTTACTCATCATTGCTTTTGTACCATCAGTGCAAGCGTCAACTCAATGAAAGGGCAAAAAACAGCTTAGTATTATTATGCAAATATGTTCGAACTCGTGGACCTCCTAAATGCATCTTAGGGGCCTCCAGGTATCCATGGACCACATTTTGAGAACCACTAGACTAGAGGGGCAACAATATAAGAACTAGCAGTGAGCATTAAATGCCTAGTTACTTAGAGAGGTAAGACTAAATGAGAACTAAAAGGGAGAGAGTATAGTATATAAAGGGTGCACACTCTGACAATGTAGAAATAGTACAAATATTAAAACATGAAAGGAGAATTAGAAGAGCATATGTAAAAAGCTTTTAAATGTTTGCAGTAATCATACTGGTGTTGGTAGTACTGATATTGTTATTTCGAGTCTATTATGAGTTTGACAAAAGATTGAGCAAATGATTAATTATGAGATTCTAATTCTGTCATCTTCAATGTCTTTGAGAACCCAGATTCCCATTTAGAAGAAAAAAGATACAATTATAATAGAGAAAAGAATAAACAAAATCCATACAGTCATGATTCTGAATTGGAAGTATAGTGTGAACTTGTGAGGTACTTTTCTTGAAAATGTAAGTGTGTATGTGTGTGTATTGTGCATGAAATAAGTATGTCTGTATGTATGCATTTATATCTACTAGCTCTGCCCACTAAAAGGCTTAGAAACAATGACCAAGCCAGTAGCAATGAGCATCACTGGTAGCTAGATTTTGGTCTTGAAATATTATTTCCCACTAAAAGAACTTTTTGGAAATGGAAATTGACTTATTCCAAGTTTGGGAAAGGAAATATATAATATGAGCCCAGAAAACTTTGTCATACTAAAAAGAAAGTTGCTCCAAATTATTAAGGTCATGTCAAAAGGACTCGGAAGGCAGCTTGAAGAGGCTTCCATTGGCCAGCACTGGGAAACAATAATTACAATGCATTGACTCATCAAATAGACTTAAATACATGCGTTTATAATGCTATTTAAAAAATAACGTTAGTAATATTTATAACAGGAAGGACAGAGAGAAGAAGAACAGCAACACCACCAACAACTACTCACTTTTAGAGCATGTTACGAATCTATTTTATTATTTTAAAAATTGGCAAATAAAGGGAAAGACTCAAGTAGCATTTATCTTGCCTTTTATTTATAAAAGTTACCACTGGGTTACTGAGTAGTAGATGAGGAAAGGAGATTTTTAAAAAAAATAAAAAGTGTTCCAATTCTTAGGTTCAAAATTATAATGCTACGACATGGATGAAGCTTGAAGACTTTGTGCTAAGTGAAATTATCCAGTCACAAAAAGATAAATACCATATGATTCCTCTTATATGAGGTACCTAAAGTAGTCAAATTCATAGAGACAGAAAGAATGAGGTTGCCAGGAGGTGGGGGCAGGGGGAGCTGTTATTTAATGAGTACAGAGTTTTAGTTTTGCAAGATGGAAAGAGTTCTGGAGATGGATGGTGGTGGTGATAGCACTAGAATATGAATATGCTTAATACCACTGCACACCTACAAATGGTTAAGATGGTAAACTGTATGTTATGTGTATTTTACTATAATAAAATAAAATGGAAAAAAATTGTAGACTTAGAATATCACCATTTCAACTTCCAGTGAACTAATTGTTTTAAGAATTGCACTAAGATCACAAAAAAAGATAATTGGAAGTTATACAACACAATCTATAGCCTTCCCAAGGATATCAAACATGCATTTTATCCAGGTCCTAATTTGCAGAAAACAGAGGGCGGAGGAATACGAAACTGCACCATGAATATGCAATCAACAAAATCCAGACTACGGGAAACTCTACGGGTCAAATAACCTAAATTTTCAATAGATAAACTGCAGAGGATCCTGTATATTAAAAGAGACTTAAAAAGATATCAAATAAAAAAGTAGTAAAGATTAAATAAAATGTGTAGAGAAGTCCACTTGGTTGATAAAATTAGAAAGAAATGCAAGGAAGTGATTGATATAAATGTCTGGGTAGTTAGATGAAGGGTGCCGTAAGCGAGGAGAAGTAGCTTTAGACAGCGGGGTCTTCGGCATGCCTAGAAAAGGTGTATTTCTTGACCTGGATGGTAATTTCTAGAGTGTTTGTCTAACAGATATTCATTAAGATGTGTGTGTGTGCATGTACATGTGTGGTTAGTGTTGGTGGTTTTCTGTATGTATTTTATTTTATAGTAAAAAGTTTTTAGAAAATAGACTAAATATCTTTAAGCTTCTTGTACCTTCAAATTTTATATTTCCTAATGTCTGCTAAACTCTTCAGACAGAAATTAAAGTTCTCTGGCCCAACTATCTTACTGCCAAAAATCTGATGTTCAATTATATATTTGACAAAGGAAGTTAAGCTGAGTTGATTTAGGCAAATACTTAAAAGCTTTTTCTTTCTTTCTTTCTCTCTCTCTTTTCTCTCGCTCTTATCATAAGATATAGAGGAATGAAAATCACAGGATTTTCAAGGAAGGAACAGTGTCAGGGGATATTTTGTTCTAAACTAAATAAACTCAGAGTGAAACCAAAAATAATTATTTTTTCTCCTTCCCTCTTTCCTATTAAATTCTTAAATGTTCAATTAGGCCAATTTGCAAAAAACAATGGTGCTAACAACCACAGGTAAGAAAAGTGCTCAGGCAACGAGCCTGCTGGAAATAAACAGAAGTAGCAATTCATCACGGAAAAGAATTTGAAGTATTTTGTAATTTAGAAAACAAGAATTCCCTCGTCTTTCAACCCACAGGTAAATATGCAGTATTATCTTATAGAGGATCAGATTTGTCTACCTCTTGAAATCAATCAAATAAAGCCAAATTAATAAAAATATATTAAAGTAGTAGCTTTTGAATTTTCTGAAAATTGCATTAGCCTCAAAAAATGAATTAGAGTTTTCCACTTCTTGCATGATACTTCACGGACGATTTGTGGAAGTTAGATTTATTTTTAGAAGGATTCTGAGAAATCATTCAGTAGATTATTATGCTTAATAAACTCAAAAAATTGCCTGACATCCAAAGAAATGTATTTTGCATTTGAAGTGCTTGACTCAATAAGTGGAGTCCCCATGGATTCACTTACTTCCCTAGTTTGCTCCAAGAACAGGTCAGGCTAGCCAAGAGACAGGTCACTGTTGTCTTGATGAGGATGTAACATAATCATTTACTTACCCTCCATGATGGTCAAAGGATCTTCCACTTTGGGGCGCAGAATATTAGGGCCAAAGACAGTGGCCAGGTTCTGCACACTCATTTTGTTAACTCCCGAATAGGATTGTACTTCATCCAAGAACCTGTTGGATGTAAGAACCCAAACAAAACACAATGGGATCAAATTTGTCAGTGGAAGAAAATAGGTTACTGGGAAATTTATGAACTGGAGTATGTTCAAAGATGATTATGAAGACAAAATTATTTAGAAATTCAAACATTGCTCAGTCAAACATGGAGAAAATATATTGCAAATCATTAATTTTATTAATTATAAATTGTTAAATGGTTATTTATATTAATTACATTATTATTACATATATTATTCTATGAAATATAAATTATTCATTAATGATGAGAGGTCCTATCAAATATCACCTCTGGCCTGGCTTGGCTTGGTTTCCTCTGTCAGCCACAGGAGTAAGTGTATTTAGATAAACCTTATATGGACTTGAGATTGAAGAATATGGATTTCCTTCCAACCCCTAAATAAAATATTAAATTTAGACACATATTCAACTTGAGAACTATAAATAGGATGATCTGGTACAATCCCTTATTTCAGAGAGGAGGAATCAATCCTTTTTGTGTGGAGTAATTTGTGAACTTTAAGTTTATAGTCTATTTAAAAATGAGATCAAATATGGCTTAGGTTAAAATCTCAGTTCTACTGATATGAAAAACTGTAAGCACAAATTGTTTCAATTTATTAGATACTGAAGAATAAGAGGCATAAAATTGGCTTTCCCCCAAACGATTTTAGTAGGGGGACTGTTTCTGTAATTTCAGGCTGTTTGCACTCCTTACTCCCTCTTCATTTCTACAAGAGCTTCTATCATTTCATGGCTTACTAACGGTACTGATGAGACAAAGAAGAAGCGATAAAGAATAAAAAAGAACTTATTTTATGTGTTACTTAGAATCTATTTTATTATGTGTCAGTCATTGTACTAACATTAATTTTTCAAAGCATCTCTGTGAGGTAAATACTATTGTTATCTCTATTTCACAGATGAGACACATGAGGCATCCGAGAGGTTAAGTATCTTCTGCAAGGATGCAGAGTAGTAAGTGGCAGAGCTGAGATGCGAACCCAGGTGACTGACTCTAGAGTCTGGGCTCTAACCACTACACCAGGATGCTAAGAAAAGGTGTCTATGTCCACATATTCACTACTGTTATACAGACTAAACTGTAGCAAAACTGAAGGTCAAAAAGTCAAACTACCATTTCTTATCTGAAGTAGTTGAAATTAAAAGTCTGCTTAAATGTTTCAAGAGAAGTTAAGTTTTTCTATTATGGAGATAAAGATTTGCAATATGGTTCTCAAAGAAGCCCTTTTCCCTTACTTAAAGATAATGTAACCTTTTTATCGTCCACTACAATAGCTTGCATTAGTTCACAATCTTGCCTTACACGTTAATAAGCGTATGCTTTCCATGAAAAGACTTCTTGCTTTTTCACATTCTGAAATCTAAGGTCTTGTCTGCTTCCTAAACATAACCATCACCAGAAAAAGTTATGGTAGGAGATTTTGGAATTCCTGCTCAGTAGCAGTTGACAGTGAACTCCACAGGGTCTCACAATAGTCTGAAACTCCACAGTGCCTAGTCTGCTGAACACATCCAATCATGATGCAAAAACCATACACAAATGATGCATTGGACTGAACTGAAAATTTGAATTTTCTTTTAAAATGGACTGGGAAGCTATCATTTAAAATACCTTGCAGTAGTATCCATCACTAATCTCTTTATTTAAATGTAATATATTTCAATTTTACATATTTGGTTTCTCAAATAGGGGCACATACGTGGCACACCCTGTCCCAGGACTGTAGTTAAACGTGGTCACTGAGAGAGAGCTTTACCAGGCACAATTATCGTTCTGACAGAATTGAATTACAAATGTCTTTTCAATGAGTGTGAAGTGGGACAGGAATGGAAAGAAGATAACATTTATTGAACGCTTACATATATATTAATCATTAAAAAATATAATTTAATTTTAAAACAACTGTGTGAAATGTGTGTTTTTCCTACCATTTCACTTATTAGGACTCTGAGACTGAGAGAGAACAGACAATTGCATAAAGATACACGAGTAGTCAGCGGCAGTCTGGACTCCCATGCAGAACTTCCCCATGCCAATATACACGCTTCTTCTCTCAAACAACGGTACACGGAACATGTACAAACAATTTTGATGGAAATTCAAAGCAACATATCTTTAACATGTAAAAGCAAGAGAGACTTCAGAAATAACAAATTACAAAATCATGCAAATTTAGTGCTCAAAGAAGCCTTTGAGATCACCTTGTCAAACCTCTGTTTTACAGAGGCCAACACTGGAGTTCAGAGCAGTGAAGTGATTTCGTTCCTCGTCAAACATAAGTTACTCACAGGCTAAATAGTCTTGTTTTGTTTAGTTGCGTCTTTAAGACAATTCTTACCTGCAAATATACTTGAGGAGGTTGTAATTGACCGCTGGCAAACTCTTCACCTGCTTCGCTAATTCCTTAACTCCCTGAGTATAAAGAAGAGAATAACTGTTATCTTTCTAAGGTTGGTCTTGGAATTAAAGCAAATGGGAAATCAGCATATAATTGTTTTTTAATTGGTGTCACATATTGTCAGTGAAGGATCCTGTCCTGAAAACTTGCCACCATCACAGCAAGCATTTTACAAATATTTTCAAGGACGTGAAAGCATTTCAAATATCTCCACAAGTACTATGCGGAGAAACAGATTTAAGTGAAGCCCTTTTAACATTTTTAACACTTGTTCACAATTGACTGAAAAAGGAAGATGGCCTCACTTATAATTAGGTTATTTGGGGGGAAAAATAGCCTTGATGTACTGACAGTCCTTCTCATTTTTAGCATGCCTGAAACATAGATAAACATACGTCTACTGACAAACAAGTCTCTCAGGACTGGTCACGTTCAGGATACATCATTGAAGGTGGGATGGAGGGGTGCAGCCTGACCTTCCTGGAAATTTTACAAAAGGATTAACTACTTTGTTTCTTCTCATTGTAGGACTTCCTCTAAAATATAAACGGTCCCAGAAAAGCTAATGGATAATATAATCTGATCTGTTCTTCTTCCTGTAAATAGTAAATATTTTAAGCTTTCTGGGACATATAGTTTCTGTCTCAACTACTCAACTCTTCTGTTATACTGCAAAAACAGCCACAGACAATATTATACAACAAACAGAATAAAACTGCATTTACAAAAACAGGCAGCAATTTTGATAAGAGTGCCAAGAAGATCCAAAAGAGAAAAGAAGAGTCTCTTCAACAAATGGCACTGAGACAACTGGATGTCCACATGCCAGACAATAATGTTGGACCTTTTCCTCACACCATAAATAAAAATTAACTCAAAATGGATCAGAGACCTAAACATAAGAGCTAAAGTTATAAAAATCTTAGAAGAAAATATGAGTAAATCTTTGTGACCCTGGGTTAAATAAAACCTTCTTAGGTGTGACACTAAAAGCACAAGTGGCAAATGAAAAATAGACAAATTGGACTTTATGAAAATTAAAAACCTTTTTGCCTCAAAGGACATCATCAAGAAAATAAAGAGGCAATCCACAGAATGGCAGAAAATATTTGCAAATCATATATCCGATAAGGGCCTTGTATCCAAACTACACAAAGAACTCTTACAAATCAATAAGAAGAAGACAAACAGTCCAATTAAAAATGGGAAAATGGTCTGAATAGATGTTTCTCCAAAGAAAATACACCAATAGCCAATAAGTACATGAAAAGATGTTTAATATCGTTAGCCATCAGGGAAATGAAACTCAAACCTCAATGATACACCACTTTACACACATTAGGATGGCTACGATAAAAAAGAGAAATAACAAATGTTGGCCAAAAATGTGGAGAAATTAGAACCTGCACACATTGGAATTTTAAATGGTGGAGCCTCTTTAGAAAACACAGTTACATATGGCCCAGCAATTCCTCCTCCTCAATATAAACCCAAGAGAAATGAAAACATATGTTCACACGAAACTTTGTAAGTGGATATAAATAGCATTATTAATAATAGTCAAGCAGTGGAAACAACACACATGTCCTGCAACTAACAAATGGATAAATAACAGAATATTATTTGGAAATAAAAGGAATAAAATACTGATATGGGGTACAATGTGGATGAACTTTGAAAACAGTGAAAGAAGCCAGTCACAAAAGAAAACATATTGAATGATTCCGTTTATATGAACTATCCAGAACAGGCAAATCTATGGAGACAGAAAGTAGATTAGCAGTTGCCAAGAGCTGGGGAAAGAGAGGCATGGGCAATAGATACGCAGTTTGTTATGAGGGGATGAAAATGTGGTAAATATTCTAAAATTAGATTTTGGTGATGACTGCACAACTCTGAGAATATACTAAAAAGCACTGAATGGTACACTTCAAATGGGTGATTTTATAGCATGTGAATTGCATCCCAATAAAGCTGTTTTTACAAAAACAAGCAGTAGGTAGGACTACCTAAGAGTCATTGTTTGAAGTGATTTAAGGGGCACACAAAAAGGAATATGAAAAAAGGCATCCAGTTTTTTCATAGAACGCTTGGCCTCATGTATCGCCACCGTCAACCTTTCAGGGGAGCAAAATGACAAGGGGTGCTTATTTTATTCCTTCAGCCACACTTTTCTTTGTGATGAGAGAGGGAATTAAAAATGAGACCCGAGTTGTGCATGTAAAGTCTAAATCTGTGTGATGTCAATACACAGAATAGCGGAAAACAATAGAAAATCCAACGATAAGACAAAGGGAAGTTTACAAATTAAAGACTAAGAGCACTGAAAAAACTCTCAAAAAAAAACTTTTTTAGAAATAAATGCATCGACTTACTGCTTCCTCCTCTTTGCTGAGCAGTTTGGCACATGACAAAAAATCTTCATACTTTGCATAAGGAATAACTGGTTCTGGAAGTTCTCGGAGATACAGCTTAAGAAGTGATGCCACTGTGTGTACATCTGTGTTGCTGTGGAGACAGAAGTGAGAAGACAATCTTTGGAGTAAACCTTATGCCATTTTATTTGTTTTTTCATCAAATATGCATCGAAGAGTCAGAATTTTATGCCAGTTGGCAATTGAATCAGTCAATCCAGCTTTCAAGAAGCACCCACTTATGTAATGCCAATAAGATGCTACCACAGAGAGGAACACAGAAGGACACTTGGAGTCCTCAGTATGGTATGAAAATATTGGAAAGCTCAAGCATTTTTCTTTTGTGTGTATTTGACATTAAGTGAGAGTAGTAACTTTTGAAAACAATGAGAATATACCAAACTTCAAATAAAATACAATACAGTTTACAAAAATACCAAATTTACATATGTGTGTATGTATGAATTCAATGCCAAAATTAATTATTTCTGAACCCTAACTTCAGTTCTCAAAATTTCACGCTCATTCTTGAGAAGACATTGGTGACTGGTTATAGATTCCTAAAGCTTAGTATGACAGGCTATAACTTTTTAAGCAGAGCTCATTTTGAATGTGACTGATTCTCGGCATGATTGCATGTCTAACATTTTAAGAGAGTTGGGAATCCTTAGAGTTTTCTAGAAAGAGAAAGTGCAACAAAAATAAACAATGAAAGCTTAACATGGCCCTTGTGTAATGTGCAAAATTTATTTTTATTCTCTGCTGAATACAAGAGTGGCAGGATAATTTAATGCAATATTAATTTATATTTTGTTCCCTGTATTTCCCCATTCCCTGATAATCCGTCAAGAGGACTGACAGTAAACACAGGAAGAGGTGGCGTGTCTTTTATTTATCTACTTTTGGTCTTGTTTTGGTTTTTTATTTGGGAGGAAGGGAACAGGAGCGTGGGAAGGAGAGACTGGTGAGCAGGGAGTAAAAAGGTTGATGGATTCCCACCAAGCAGGGTGAGTGGCAGTGAACAAGGCCAGGGATTCTGCAAGTAGTAAGAACATACACCCCTCCCAGAGTGTGCTGCAGGAAGTGACAAGTCCCCAGAGGGGTGTACCTTGACAAGCTGGAATATAGGCACTGGGATTTCCTGCCTCAGCGAATATTCTCAAGGGTGACAAGGAAGCAGAGTTGACTTCACAAAACTACATGGGTTGAGACAATGGACATCTCAGTTCTCCATTTTGGACCCATAGATTGATTTCATCAGCTATTTCCCACACATGTACTCTGTATCAAGCATTATAGAAAACACAGTGGGTGAGCACCGAGGGGTTAAAAAAAAGGATTATTCTAGCCTGCTCATCATTTATAATCTTGTGGGGGCAGCAGATACTAATACAAGTATATAATCACAAAGTGTGGTGAGCAGTAACAAGGAAAAGTATTGGATGCTAGCTAATAACAAGAGAGGACTAATTTATGGGTTGGAGGGCTTCCCTGAGGAAATGATGCTTGGGCCAAGATCTGAAGGGTATGTAAGAATTAACTAAGTGAGGGCAGAAGAGCAGAAGGCGGCGTCCCTGATTAATGCAAAGCAGGTAAACAGAGCCCAAAGTGGGAGGGAGCATCCTGTCCTTGAGGAGCTGACAAAAGGCTAAGGGAGACCAGACCTCTGAGAGGGACTGGATGAGGTCTGAGCGGTAGGCGGTATCCTCATGGACCATGGGACTTCAGCCGCCACAGAATTAGACAGGGCAGGGGCTGAGGTTTTCCATTTTACAGTCAGAGTCAGTCAGAGCAGGCATATTGTCAACCATTTTGCAGATGTTAAAATGACAGAGGTGATCTGAAAGGGCTGGTCTTACCTAATTAATTTTATTCTTGTAATAATTAAATAAATTTTTTCTCTTAAAACTCTAAACTGATAGATAAACTAGAAGTCATCTTAAAGGCTAGCAAAGAAAATAAAAATCATGTCTCTGGGACATCTTGAAAACTGTGACCAAGCTCATTAATTCCTAAAAATATTTTCCAAAAATAATTTTTTTAAAAGATAGGTCTAAAATAGTCTGAGTGGTAAGACAAGGAAGACACAAGTTTGTTTTCCTTTCTGGAAAAACACTTCATTTCATGTACGTCAAAGCCCTCCTTTGTTTCTGTGCTATGCAGTAAAGCACCTGACCCCTGGAGGCACAGTCATCAGTAATAACAAAACCACAGCCTGGGGCAGGATATGCGGTTCAATCAGATACTACAACAAGCTATTTCCATCTTTTCATTCTACTCAAATCCAGCCCACTCTAACCCAACCCACTCCATGACTGGGTTGGCTCGTGTTGCTTTCAAAGTCAATGACAATTTTGTTAAAGCTATAGGTAGGTACAGAGAAGAATATAAAAATAAAATATAAAATAAGTATAATTTCAATATATGGAGTATATGTATAATTTGTATGGCCATGGAGAGTATATAAAAATATTTATGAAATAGATAAGATGATAAGGATAAATAAGAAATATATATTTAACAAGAAATCTGTGTTAGTATTTCAATGATGGACTATTCATGCCATTGTCTCCCAAGTGCACTGTTTTTAAGGTAACTTGCTTGTTACTTTCTTTATGGGGTATTTTGCTTCCAAGGAAGTTGAGCTCTGGTACTGAGGACGTACGAACACTAGATGGCGCGATTGCAAAGTCAGACTAATCGAGATGTTGCGAAAATTGCGAAGGATGAAAGACGCAGAGTCATTCATCCTCCAGCGATTTTCTTAGCACCAAAGCTGCAGTAATGTTCCAAGAATAGAAATATTTGAGCTATGAATCAAAGTAATAGATGTGGCTGGGGTGATTATTTTATTCCTTCCCTAAAGTGAGATGTTACGTTAGCTTTCTAGCGTTATAGTATACATCCACACACTGTTAGCTATACAGAAGCGATAAAGAAAAAATGACCAAATATATTTTCTTTTTTTAATTAACAAAGGTTATTAAATTTTTGCTTAAAGGCGAAAACTCAAAAATGTATGACTCTTTTTTGGCTTTATTAAACTTAGGCTATTTTGTAGAAATAGAGACTTCTACATTTTCCCAGCATTCTCAGTTTTGGCTTTGTCCTTTCCCACTGAATGGAAGAAAACAATCACTTCTGGACAGACTCCAACATGTTTGCCAGCTCTGATTCACCGCCAGAGGCTCACAATCCATCTGCCTAAGCGCTAGCATGCAGCCCACTAAAATAGGAAGTCTGGAGTTTCTCTGAAAAATCTCTCTATAGCCACTCTGCAAAATAGCAACCTTCTGCATCTAACTCTCCAGTCTGATATCTCTTACTGAAAACCCATGGCTTTGTCTAATTAATATTTGCTTAATAGGTACAGCTAATTAAGTAAATACCAGTACTGTGTGTTAATTGCCCAATGTACCTAGAGAAGTGTGCCACCTTTGCCTCAGAGAAACATACCTCACCTTCAGCAAAGCCAAGTGACTGCACTGGCAAAAGCTGATGTACATGGAGAATTCCAACCCCTAACCTAGCTGATAATAATAATAACAGCAGCAGCAGCAGCAGCACACCTACACACATCTCTCTCTGCATGAGGTCCTCACAGCAGCCCATCAAATTAACATTATTAACTCTGGGGTACTCGAACAGGAAACTGCACATATACAAAATTCTTTTTGGATAATCACTGAGCTATGAGAGGTTTTAAAGTCACACTCTTTGGCAGAAATTCAAAACTATTTGCTAAAGTTGAAATCATTCTACAGACCTCAAGTCTCTTTCACTCACCTGGCTGTAGAATGTGTTTTCAGAAATCAAGATAAATAATCATGCTCATTCTCTCCAGTGATAGCAAGGAGGCAGAGACAGGCCCGGGGATCCCGTGTAAGAGAGCTTTCAGGCCAGAAGATGCTGTGTCGCATGTCATTTAACTGATCAACATATGCCTTTCGTTTGCACCTTATTTTGTACTGGGACTTTACTTCTGGGTCGTGTAGTGCTTTTTATCAAACTCACAGGGAGGATTCCATGAGACTTCCTATGACTGACCTAACTTTATATTCTCACAGGTCTTGCTTTGGTCATTCTGGGATCACCCTACCAATGGTTCACTCACCAAATAGCTCCTGAATGCTTAAAGGGGCGCACTGCTCACATCACACGCTGGGGAGAAGAAATGAATTACAGAGGTCTTTACTGTGTCCCTCCGGCTTATATCTCTAACTGATCACCATCAACACGTTTCCATACCTATGTGCCTCATTGGTTTGACTTCTTCACACTTTCTAGATATTCTAGCTGCTAAGTTCTTGCCTGGTGCCTTAAGAATGTTTTTATACTCCTGGAAATTACCTGCCCTATTTACAATCCATGTACAATATAGGACTCTTACTAATCTGAAAGCGATAACGGAGTCTGACAGCCACCCTTCCTTGGTCATCCTCTAATCCCACCCAACCTTCCCTGATAAACAGACTCACACACAGAGATAAGTCTAAATGCCACAGTAATTACAAGTATAATACCGCACAGGCAAAACCTTAAAACTTTTAAGCCTTGAAATTAGAAATGGGAGTTTTTCTCTCTGGATACTATGCACAGAACACAATATAATTCATTGATTTATCTGAATGGAATGAATTTCCAGTGCACCTACACAGGAAGTTATTAAAGATATTGCAAACTTATTTGCAACACACACAATGAGATGACCTAAAATTCCCTTGGAATTAAGAAAAAATAATGTCAAATCCATTGTACTCCATGAAGAATATATACAGGCCTGAAACATTCAGCAGCACCATCAAGATGAAGACACGAAATTGTCTTAAGCCACACACTGCTCTGTCTAGAGTTCACCAGGACATAGACAAGCAAATCCAAAGGTAGTAAACAGTTCCAAGCTAAACTAAATGTCTGCAAGAAAAGTGTGGTTCTGTTCAAACTTATTTTCGTATGTATCTGTCAAAACTGGCACACTTTTTGGCAGTGAAACTTGAATCTGGTTAAACAGTCACGACTTACTGTATGGTTACATAAGCGTCACTGCTGAGTTACACACAACCCCAAAAGACACTTTTACCTCCAGGCGAAGTC